GGCCAGCTTGGACACAGGGGCTTGGAGCAACCTGCTCTAGTGGAAGGTGTCCCTGCCCGTGGCAGGGGGCTGGAACTGCAGGAGCTTTAAGGTCCCTTCCAACACAGACCAGGCTGGGATTCTATGACTGATGGCCTCTTCTTCCACCGCCCCCTTTTTAAATCCATGAAGGCAGGTGATATTCATCTAAGAGCCTGCTCTGTATTTCCAAAACACAAATGCCACTGCTCCCAGTGCCCTGGAGCTGTCACCCTGGGGAAGTGCCACCCTGGAGCAGTGTCACTGCTGTTCTTCTCATGTCAGGAGTCAAAACAGTAAAACTAAAATAATAAAGAAGAACAACTTCTGGGGTGAGTGCTCAATACTGAGATTGCAGAGGTCATACAAATGGGATTCAGCATGTCTCTGGTGGGCTGACTGTGAATACTGATGGTGAATCAAAGCAGTTTAACAGCCTGGGTGATATTAATTTGTTCCCTTGCCATGGGATCAGGTCCACAGGGTTACAGCACTGGCCACAAGGCCACAAGCCCATCTGTGACCACAGGATGTTCCAGCTCTGGAGCTGCCGGGCTCCAAGCATGCTTCTGCTGCTGCTGCAGCCTCCCTGGAGCAGGGGACATGAACACTGGGTGCCCAACTGGGTACACATCTAAACACCTAAGCATCATTTTTCCCTGTCTGGTCTCCTGGCTGCAATCACAGCTGGGTAACAAAGGTCAGTGAAGAACAATGCATGGAGCACAACAACCACACAAACCATTGTCTTTTATACACGTGGTGTGCTTGGGAAAACAAGGTAACATGTGAACGTTACCACAGGACTGGAGACCATACAGTTCACATTGTAGCACCCTTCTTTCCTCGGTAGCAGAACTGGACAATAAGCTGAAGTGGTTGGAATCCAAGCACCTTGTGAAGCCTCAAGACTGCTCCTGCACAGGGAGGATTCTCAGCTTCCCTTTGATACCCAGCAGTTGCTTTAAGTCCAAGTCAGTCAAGACATACAAGGTGCAGAAATGTCCCTCTCCTCACCCTCCTCCTGGATTTTTACCTCCACAGACTCTTGACACTTACCTTAAGATCAACCAAGAGTTAAATAAACACCTTTATAGTCCTGAGCCAATCAAGGCAAGGGGTCAAAACGAGAGACTCCTCCCAGAGCAACGTGACCTCCCACTGACACCTCTGCCCAGAGCAGAGGTCTGGTCCATACACGTGTCAGCAGCAGCACTCATGTGCTCCCAGTTAATATACACGCACCGTGGCCACATCTGATGTAGCATTCAGGATTTTGTCTGTTCTGAGCTTTACTTTCTGACTGAAGTAATGACAAAACATTATGCTGGAGAGAAGAGAAAGAGCAAGCAATGCTGTACTACACATATCTGAATTAAGTCCAAAATCGTGTTGTTAGCTAAGACAAGGTATTCTGATGGGGTCAGTTCAGTGCTTTTCTAAAGCTCTGTTATGGAAAGGAGAACAAAAATACACCAAATCCCTGCAGAGCTATCAGAAGTAACTAGTCAAGGAATAATAAAGCCATGGAAAGAAAGGACAGGGGTGCAGAGATAAAGTGTGGTGGGGTTTCTTTTCCCTAATCCCATGGACACATTTATTAAGCCCTCGGATTTGTGTGCACGCAACTCCCAGCCAGCCACAGAGGAAAGACTTTGTCAAGTTAACATGTGCTGCATCCTGCAAGTGAAAAGCAAGAAGAAACAATACAGCAGCCATGCAGCATCCCACAAGAGCACGAGGTGTGGAGGGCCTTAAACCCACCATTCACCCTGTAGCCATCAGTGCCTGATCTGGAGCAACAGAGAAACCCAGAGGAAAACAGAAAGTTCACTTGACTGGAGGGAAGAAAAGGGCCAGGTCATCATGTGGCAGGATCAGAGTTCAGTTCAAACCAGTCATACACAGGAGGTTCAAAGTAACTCCTTTGTGCTTCACAGCCACACCAAAGCAGAAGTGAAAATTAGCTTGATAGTCTTTAAGGTGGGTGGTGATGGAAGGACCAAAAAGCCAATTTGCCATCTCTCCTGGTGAAGAGCCCTGCTTAGATAAATAGAACTGTTTGTGGCAGCACACCCAGGGGACAAAGCCCATCTCCAAGCCCCCAGTTTTGTTCCCATCACATGCCAGCCTCACCAGCAAGATCTGGCCCTTGACCAAGGCAGGTGCTCACCTTCCTCTTTGTTGTTGGTGATATCTTTCAGCAGCTCAGTCTTCATGCAGGCGTCTTTCCTTGGCTCTGCCTTACTCAGCACTGTTCGCTAGGGGTGGGGAGGGAAGGGACGGAGAAGGGGGGGAAAGAAATGGGAAAGAAATATCATAGTTTAGCTCAATGTTCATACACACACTGCACTGAAGAGACAATCATGGACACATACTGTTTACATCAGGGCAAACCTTGTTCTGCAGAGTAACGGCTGCTAGGAAACTGTCAGCAAGGCACAGGTCAAAGACATGAACCAGCAGCTCGTCCCCATGAGGAGCAGAGGGGCTTCAGGCTGCACCCAGGCCAGGACCTCACACTCAGTATGGTTCGAATGCAGCCAGACAGATTCTCTATGTGTTTAGGAATCCAGCTGAGTCTGGCTGAACAGGCACAGACTGAAATGGTCATGAAAGGCACAACAGAATCACAGCCTAGTTTGGGCTGGAAGGGACCTTAAAGCTCCTCCAGGTCCAACCCCTGCCATGGGCAGGGACACCTTCCACTAGAGCAGGTTGCTCCAAGCCCCGTCCGACCTGGCCTTGAGCACTTAGCACCTCAAGGAGGTGACCCTTATCCCCCCAAAACTACTTAGGTTTTAAGTGAGGGGAGGCTGATCTATCAAACTTGTCATTACACATCAACATTTACAGCCCATGTATACTTTTGGTGTTTAGTTTTGGAGTTCTTTTATAGTTCATTCAAACATAACTTACAAGATGCAAACCATCAGTGAGCTACAGCTCATCATTCATAACATCCATGTGTATTAAAGTTAATGAGCTCTAGTTTTAATTCTACAGAAAGTAATTTGAGTTTTTCCCCCTCTTTTTTGCTATATTCCTGTAAAAACGACACACCTGCTCAAGTCCTGCCTTTCACACACCTGGAGTCATGCTGCTACATCAGGTTTGCAGCTTTAAAACCTTCTCTTTCTCTTTTCACATGTGAACACAAAAAAGAGCTTCCAAAACAAAAGGAAAAAGGTATTAAAACCCCCAAACACACAGACAAGGGGTCCTTTGACACAGTGCTCAGAGGACAAGCTGGTCTGAAAGATGAAGACGGAGAGTGTAGAGCTGCTGGGTCTTGAGGCCAGGCTGGGCAAAGGGCTCGCTGCACACTGCCAGTGTTGCAGGAGAAGAATGAGCCCAGGTCAAGCCAAGAGCTGCAGGCCTGCACAGAGCAGATGGTGCCTGCAGCCCCGCAAATCACAAGGTTTAACGCACACTGAGAGACAAAGAAAGGGAAAGAAAACAATGTGCCCATCTCCTATAAGCAAGCAAAAAGAGCTAAGACGCACATATGAAGCCCAGTGTATCAGCTCCAAAACCATCGCCAGCAGCAGCTTGCTCTTCCCCACATGTTTCTGTCTGAATCTAGCAGGACTGATGAGCTTTGGTGCTGATATTGCTATAACCAGCCACCCTCTCATCTGTGTTTCCATGTCAGCTAAGCTGCAATGCCAAGTAGTGGCAAGTGCTGCAGCGCAGGGTCTTCCTTCACCCTGATTTGTCAGCCCCGAGCCCCATGCAGACAGGGACAGCTCATCCAGAACCAGGTCTGGCTCATCCAGGACCGTATCTCTGCCCCTCAGTGACAGCAGGACCCTTCTGTCCTGCACCGAAATGCCACTATCTACAAAGCAACACACAGCTAGTGGAAGGAGGACATTCAAGGGACGGGGCTGGGCACAGGGTCTCTGCCACCTGCTAAGGGCACCTTCTCCTCTAGCAAGGAGGAAGGTGGTTGCGTATGGCTCCTGCCCTGAGCACAAGCAAACAGCAAACACAGCCAAGTCTAGATGCTCTCAGCAAAAGGCAACTTGTGCCCCTTCAGACACAGACCAAAAATCAAACTGCAAGCACTTGAAACCTCAGCCAACCGACTGGATAGCCTCGAACGGAACACACCTCCAGCTGACAGTGTCCAACAGCTTCTACAGAGAAATGATCATAAGAACACAGCCCAGAGTTTGAACATAGATCAGCTTCTTTTTATATTTGCTGAGCCAATGATACATATCCTTGCTGCAAACATTTGCTTGTAAAGCCTACCCCTCCTCTAGCCGGATGTCCTGTAAACTGGGAATAACTTCATTTTCCTCATGGACTCACCCTGCTGCAAGACCAATGCAAACAGACCTGCAGAGAGATGGGGCTCAAGCACAGCCCCAAGGCTCCCACCCATGGGAAGGGGCACCCAGGCCCTTGCCACAGGCACCAGCAGCAAATGAAGACCCTCAGCCTATAAAGGGACCAGGGTGTTTTCCCAACCTTCGCTGCAACAAAGAAAGGTTTTGGTACTCCTGCTGTTAAACGGACTCATACTGGAAGCGCCAGGATTTCCAGCAGGTCATTAGTAGCCATCTGATTCTAAGTTTGTCTTTATTTCAGCAGCAGCACCCCCACTCCATAAATCATCCACACTCTCCCTTCCACAGAGGTGCTGCTGCTGCCCAGCCCATGATGCCTGAAGAAAAGCCACTACTGGCACCCATCAGACCTAAGCAGACAATGACCACCCTCCCTCCTCACTGCAATGAGTAGGAGCTCCAGGCTGCCTCGGGTCCTGCCCAGCAGCAAGCGTTCTCAAAGCACAGAAACCACCCCCTTTAGTCCTAGGAGAGTAGGTGGGTGCCAAGGCAAGGCTAACTCAATGGCACCTGATGGGCTCTCCTGTTCCTAGCTCACAGACACATCCCTTGCTAGCAGCGGCGGCGCCTTTACAACTTCCATGCCTTGCTCTGCAACAGACAAAAAACTCAGCATCAAGGTAGAACATAAAGTAATAATTACAAATAAAAAGCCAGCTGTGAAGTTTGAAGCATTTTGATCCCAATGAAGCTAAAGGAAACCCCTGAGAAGCGCTCGAAGCCTCTTCCCCCCAGGCCAGCCTTTCCCCTCCTTGCTCCATCACCACTCCCAGCACCCAGGGGCACCCACCACCAAGGGCAGTGCTGCCCATTCATTCCCACCAACCCACGGCTCCACCCAGCCAACTTAGCAGCAACTTCACCGCAAAGTGTCAATACCTCCATTTGTATGTGTGTGTGTGTTGGGTTTTGGGGTGGTTTTTCCCTCCCTTAAATCAGAGCAAGCTGCCCTGGCTGCTCCCACTCCCCATGCCCCAGCCGTCGCTCGGATTGCCAGGGAAATCCTATACCCACCCTCCCGCCGGGAATGCCGGCTCCTGCAGCAGCCCCAACAAAGCCAACTGCCAAGCACACGCTGCTTCACAATAAAAGTCTCACTCTCGCCATTAATTTTTCCCTTTCCTCCTTCCCCCCTTTCCTGCAGCCGACCGCCTCCATTCCCTCATCCGCCTCCATTCCCTCCCCAACCCCAGACTGATTATTAACCTGCCGTGGCTGGAGAGCCTCCATAAGGAATAGACACCACCAGCAACGAAGCGTTAGCACCCCCCAACCCTTTCATTTTTAGGTTTCAAGGGGAAGAAAAGGATTATTGCACCTTAAGAAAGACTCATTATGGCTTTAAAAGCCACGAGGATCCAAGCAGAGGAGCTTGTGCTGGTTTAGTTTTAGCTCTGTTTACATGAAAACAGGCTTCCTCTCCTCTGCGAGGTCTTTGGAGGGGATGGAAGACAGGTCAGACCGGCCAAGGAAAGGCTCTGCAGCATTTCCAAACACAACTACAAACTACAGTGGTGCCTTTAAAACAAAAAAATCCCACAAAGAAAAAAAAAAAAAGAAAAGGAAAGAGAAAAAGAACAAAGCTGGGAAACAGAAAGAGCTTTCTCAGCCTCCTCCTTGGCATTTTCATCCACCATCCGGGTGCCCTTTGCAACGATCCAAACGGGTTTTATAGGTAAAGACAACGCATGCACAGCAAAACTCCAACATACCGCAGCTTACCAAGCCCAAGAGACCACTGAGTTGCGCCATGAACCAGAGCTCTCGCCAGGCAGAGCAGGAAGGAGCGGAGGTTGATGTGCAAAGATGTCTACCTTCACCAGGGTCTTTTTTTCCTTTGGTCTTAAAACTCACCCGTTGAGGAACCTGAGGCTGTGCAGCAGCGCTGTGCTGATCATGCAGCCACAGCAGGTTGAGCTGACAGGGCCGGGAGCAGGAGGACCCCTCTGAAACGCTGCTCGCTCCCACCCAGGGCACCAACACATGTCCCTGCACACCAGTGGGATGGATGGGACCGATCCTGCCCAAACCACAAAAGGCTTCAGCCTGGAGGTGGACACAGCTGCGCACCGCAGCACTGGGGCATGTACCCCAACACCAGCCCCGCAGCAAAGCTTCCAGCAGCGCCGCAGCAGGGCAGGATCCCACCTCCCATGCAATACTCTCCCAAAGTTTGCAATACACGCTGCAGCAAGGCGGGAGGCAAAGCCCTCAGACAATGATGCAACCCCAGCACCAGCAGATCCCTATTCATTTTTTTCCTCTTCTAACACAAAATAAGTAACACAACCCAAACCAACTTGCTCATAATAACCTTTGCCTTAGAGAGAAGACAAACATTTGGAGCTAATTATATAGGAAGTAACAACTAAGAAAATGCTTGTGGAAGGAGTGTTCCTTGGGCAGACACGTGCGGGCTGCCCACTTCGGATCTCGGCTCTGCCTGGGTCCTGCAGTGCATGGGCAAGGCCTGGGATCACTGCTCGTGGGGATGCTGACCACGGGCCTGTCATTAGAAGCAGCAGAAGCAGTTGATCTGGAGAAGGAAGACAACACAGCCACCAGCATACCTGGCCTACAATGCAGTCACCAGCCTCAAAGCTCCTTTTTTTTCTTAGGTTAAGGCCACTTCCTTATAAGCCTCATGCAATCATGTGAACGTGGAATTTTATCTGCAGCTCACAACAAGCACTGCCCTCAGCCTGAAGTTTGTCCCCCAAATCAAATTCTTTGCAATTCCTTTGTCTCCTGAATTCCTTTCATCCAGACTCTTTCTAAAAGACAAGAAGCATTTCCTTCTCGACCCCCATGTCCTCTCTCCTATTCCAGCCGCACAAATCAACTCCCGAAACGCAGAAGCGTAAGAAACGAGGCGCAAGTCCCTGCATGCAACAGCTGGGA